CAGAGAGAGAGAAACTCTTCTACACCAAAACGTGAGCTTCCCATTTACATTACCAGTCAGAGGTGAAAGCTGGGCTGCTTCTATAAACAATCAGCAGTGTTAATGAATGAAAGGTAACAATTTTCATCATTTTTGTTTAAGTGGGAGAAGAAGAGATTGTGTCGGTTTGGGTTTCTCTTTTAAGGGTCATTTAAATTAAAGCAGGTATGTTATTTGGGTGAAAAAGTTTCACTGAAATCAAGACTGTTTATCAAAAACATTTCTGGAAAATTTTTAATCAGCTTTACACCTCTGCATTAGACTTGCTCTCCAAACTCAAAACACATATCAAGGTTAGTGTGCCTGAGTTAGCCTGCAGGCTTGCTTGTTAAAACCCCTGTGGATTGTGTTTTCAATGAACAAATCAAAGGGATTCATGATTCCTTTCTTTCAATTCAATGGTGAGGCAGTTTCATTTTACAGCTCCTGCTCAGAGTGCTACTAAGAGTTTTAGTACAATATGGGTGCATTATCTACCATCTATTTTTTCCCGTTATTTCCAAACAAGGAAACAAGATGATTTGGGACCATTTGGGACCATTCCATGCTGAACATTTTAGACGCAAATCCTGCAGACTTTAGTCTTTTTGCAGCCAGAGGTCTCATATATGATGAGAGTTGCCTGTTTAAGAAGCATATGATTCAACCTTCCACGAAAGATCCAGTTTAATGAAATGCATATTGTACAGCCATAACGGCACTCTGGAAAACATTTCAGAAAAAAGCTATCGCATGTCCCCAGCAAACACCCAATTCCACCAGCTTTAACTAAAATTCCTCAGCAGTTTTTTAAATACACCTTATATTAAAAAAAATTCAGAGCTACATTCTTTTGTTTAACAAACCTGACAAAAGGAAGCTGAGTCAGACTCACTCCAGGATACGCACCTCAATCTGTGACAAAAAGGAAAACAGTTACCAAGTGGAAATGACTAAGAGCACTGCACTGCCCTGATTAAAAGTCCCAGAAATAACAACACAACGTTCTGCAGAGATTATGCTTTCCACATGGAGCAGTAATTGTTATTTTTTAAACTTTAAGTAATGTTTCTTCCAGAGAGGCTTCAGACAACAGTCAGATACAATTGCACATTTAAAATGGGAGGGATTTTACAATGATAACCTGAGCTATTCAAAATTAGCATTTCAGGTTTATTTTTATAACTGAAGGAAAGCTTATGCTCTCCCCTACCATAATTCTTAGCTGGTCATGAAAAATACTGACACAAGTATTAACTGCTGTGACTGAATTTCAAATCTTGGCAGACCTTCATTTGCACAGTGCCTGTAATGCGCTGGTTTTAGCAAGACAGACTACTAGGTCAAACCTTTACAAACTGTTACAAAAGCATTCTTGAGCTGTATTGCCATGTGTAAAGCCCTTGTCCAGTGAGAGTCAAATATTAGGACGATTGCTTTTGAGAAATTAAAACATCATTAGTTGCAGCTGTGTCAATGGCTGTCTTTGGTTTTGATGACTGTGCTTATTAAGAAGGGCTTACTTATGTGGAATTTCACTGTAACTAGAATTATTTGCAAAGAAAAAAAAAATCCATGCTCACTCAGTGAAAAGCATGGGCTCTTTCATCAGCTTTGCTGGAATTTGTGCTGGTTAGGAAAGCAATGAACCTGTTCCTACAACTATGGTTTCCACGGATTCTTTGAGGAGAACTTCACAGACCACTGATCAGATGGGACAGCGAACAAGCACTACAGTGAAAAACTGAAAGAAGATGTAACCAAAAGCTATTATCGTAAGAGCCAGCCTGCTTTGCTGGCTACGCAAAAAGTAATGCAATTGGAGTTTCAGATCACCTGACCAATCTTCTCAGCAACAGATACAATATAATTCTGAAGAAAGATGCAAGCTTTAATCTTGCATTTATTCTGTGAAGTTATCAATTCCATTAACTTATACTAACACACTCACAGGTGTCTGTGTATTGTGAGAGCAGTCAAATTGAATAGATTTAGCATAGTAAATGAGGGCTCTGTTTCTGCCCGTTATAACACATTATTCCTTTCAGCAGTAGCAAGATGACAGTTATTACTTTAGATTCCCAGAAATGTCAAATTCAAACTATGCACAAGCACCTTTAAAGGAAAGTTGAGTTTTACCCCCTTTATCCAAGAAAGGAAAGACTATTTTAAAATTTACTAGCGTTAAGTAGTCTGGAAGATTGCTCAGACACCAGCATTTAAATAACATAGGCTAACACTATAAAGTTTCATAGTTGGCTGAGCCAGACACATCTAACCCAGGTGCCACAAAGTAAAAAAATAGCAGCTAATGAAGATCTGTGGGAAAACCTCAGGGAAAAAAGCAAATGATCCAGTAGGGACAGCTGGATATAACATGGAAGAAAACTTGTACAGCAGTGCTGAACAAACCAATGAAAAAGGCCTGGTGTCATTTGGAAAAAGGAAGAGCAGACAAACACTGTAAAATGCCAAGTAAATAATTATCACTCCTTTTACTCGTGCCACCAGCTCCATCAGTGAGTCACACAGAATAGTGGAAAGTTGTTAGATGCTAAGGATTCTATTAATTTTTTACCTATTCCTTTCACTTCCAGAAGTCTGACTATTAAATAAGATTTCATACATAAAATGAGGCACCTAAAAAGGTAAGTATACCTGCCAATGTTGTCTGATCATGCACAGGATGTTTCTCGTTAGCAAAACTTGGTGTGAATTAATAATATTTGGTTTAAAACATTACCACCTTGCTCACAAAAGACACCAGTCACCAAGGAATTTTTCCAAAGTCTTATGATTTGGCCCTAATGATAAAGAGAAAGAAATCTGAAAGTCTAAGATCTACAAGAAAACCTGTTTGCTAGCATTTTGAGTTAGTATCTTTGAAAATGTGTTGAAATTCACTGCCTAGGAAGCACAGCAGTGCAAATGTTTGGGATTAACATGATTAACTAATTAATCAGTCTGGGTGTGGGGTGGCCTGAACCATTAGGAGCTTTGCCACCTGTTGGAGTGGGCTGCAAAGATAGGTTCTTCATTTGGTAAAATTTCAATGGACATTTTCTCATCGCCAGAAAGACTTAAAGAATCAGTTCAGCAGAGATGAAATCTATAAAGCATAAGGTGGAAGGTTTTGAGATATTAAATCAGTTTTCTAAAATTTTAAATGAAAGTATCTTCCTCCAAGCTTATAAATGGTTTTCAGTTATTCTATTGAGCTCTGAAGCAGAGCATGCTGAAAATGCCTTTAGAAACTTTCTCACTTCTTCCCTTGAACTTTTCAGTAGAGATAAAACAAGCTTATTTAGCAGGCATCAAAACAGACCTTGATAATCTAGGCCTGTTGCCTCAGGGCATATATAGAGAACATAGGGGTTTTCTCTTTTCCTTTTCTGAGCAGTGGACGTGAAGGGCTCCCTTATCCTCATCCTTTATTTACATTTGCTAAATAGCACGCTTACTCCCAAGTCCACAGATATGAACATCAAAGGCTATGCAACGGTTGTAAATACAGTTGAAGTCATTTGCAAAAGTAAACCATATCTGGGACTGTTGTCTGCTGTGGGTACCAGATTATCACTGAGCTGCATCCTGACCAGATAACTGCAGTTCCCTGGAAAACTCCTATCAACATCCTCCCTGCTCTTCTCTCAGCTATGACACAGGAACGGCTTATTTTCTTGTAAGGAAATTTAACTCTAGTTGGTCTCCTTATGTAAGACTTTGAAAAATGTCTCCTCATTAGTTGCATAACTTTTCTGAATAAATAATGTATCAAAGTTTTTAAAAAGCCATTCATCTTTGCTGTTGTACATCATAAAAATGTGAAACAATCTAACAAACCTCAGCCTTCTAGCAAGCCAGGAAATCAATGCCATCACCTGTGCTGGACTGTGATGACAAATAGGGGCAAGAGAGTATTTAACTGCGGAACATTATTATTTGAAGTCCTACTTAAGATACATTGAACATTTGCCTACATTTATTATAACTGGTTCAAAAAAAGTGAGTTTTAAGTTAAGTCCCACACTTCTCAGATTTTCTTCTGCATTATTTAGTAAGAAAATTCCTCTTCCATTTGTACTGCACAATGCCAGAGATACACCTTTGCATTCAGCTTAACATGCAGACAGGGGTCAGAAAATGGCAGGTGGCACTGAAGAATGCATCACAGTCCCACAGAAGGGCTTGTGTACTCAGGCTAGGCTGCAGAGAAGCCCACTGGCTCATCAGGTTGGGCTCACTGAACACTATCCTGACTTAAGTTTTATGTGGGTGACAGTATTAGAGACACTGACACCTGCGCTTTGGTGAGCCTCCCCCAGGCTACCACTGCCCAGCAAGTCAGCCTCAGGAATGTAATACAAATGCTGAATCTTTCCCTTCTGTCTGCCCTGAGTGGTCTTGAGACTTAAAACTAACCATAATCAAGATGTTACAAACATTTTCTCCTTCTGGAAGGCCCACCTACACTGTCTTGCTGCTGGGATCATAATTTTACTTGTGAAAAATACTGTTAAATTTCATTTTTACATCCAGCGCTGACAGAGCTTTACAGGAACGTGGTCTCATTCATATGAGAGCTCTAGCTTTTTTGCTTGCAGGTATAAAAATCCTTATAGATAGGACATCTCCAAACTGCTTTGAAAATCCTGTTTGTGCAAAACAGGCATAGTCTGTACTGACCAAGTATCAGACACTATTTAAAGTACCATTCAGATGTTTGCTAACTCCTAAAACTCTTTATAAAACGATACTAAATAACATACCAACTTTTGTGTTTCTCTCAGAGACAATTTCCTTTTATTCAGCTCCCTCATTAGAGTCAGCAACAAATAAGTAGGTATAGCAATAATAAGGCTAAGTTTATCTTGTTTCCTCCACTCCCTTTTCTCACTGTATTACTAAGACTTGGAACAATAACAGGATGCCGGGATGCAGGATGGGAAAAGGCTGACTCCCAGCTGGAAAACCTTGGAGACTGGAGAGCTGAACACTCCCAATATTGCTTAATGAAAAGAGAAGTGGATTTTTCTGTTTGATCTTCATTTTCTGTATACTGCTTAACATTTTGGGATACTGTTGATTGTAGTTTGCCTGATTTGGGAACAAACTGAAGCTCCACCAACTCTGATTCAGGTAAGGATAAACGGTGTTTGCTGTCCTTCAGCTATGAAGTTCATTTCAAAGGTTTTTTACCTCCACCAAAAAGCTCTTCTAATGTCTTAAATAATTTAAGAAATCCCAGCAGACAGGCTATGAATTTTATACATATCCACAGAATCCTTTGGGCCTAACATTGATGGCACTTAAACCAAATTAAGTGCAGACAACAGCAGAGCTGTTTACAATTGACACTGGAAGAGGAAAATCGCTGGCTATACCACAATATTCCCAGATTGTTTAAAAGAAGAGACATTTTATGCTTTTTTGTAGTTCTGTTTTGTAATATTTAGATTATGTTGCTGATGCATAATAGAAAAGGGACAGAAATGATACTGCAAATTGCACCTGTAAACCCTTTAGGAAAGGATTTCACTTGCAGTGTGGACAGTTACAGGCTTAGTACTGTTTTGAGTGAGCTGTGCTATGACTTGATGCAATATCTTTTATCAAAGTGGGGGTTGACTTGGTATCTGTCTTTGAGGTGCTATGGCTTTATTGTGACCAATGCCAAGAGGAGGTGAAAGCCACCATGTATACTAGCCAGCTTTGGCATATATCTCCTGCTAAGAGATTTGTTTAAGGCTTAGAGGGGAGTTTACATAAACACGTCAGTGACTTGGTCTCCTAAATCTCACGTTTAAAGTGGTCCAGGTACTTTAGCACCCTAACCCTGGACTACCAGGTTTTACAGCCCCTGTTCTAAAAGACCAGCAATTCTTATTTTAGAAGTTTCTTGATCTCAGTGGTCCAAAAAGAACCATTTTTTCTGACAAGGTATTTTATGAGCAGTGGCTTGATACAAAAAGTTGGTTGAAAAGGCTTTTATCTTATCCTAAAGGTAGTGTAGCAAGTCCCTGAGCTAACAAGTTTGCTGTACAGCTTGCAGAGACAAAGCATTTTATGCATAAGTGATGAACTGATACTGCTTTCTCTGTAAGAACTCTATTCTGCAATAGTAGGACTGTCAGCATGCACAGTACCTTACTGTGCTGGTTGTCACACTGTAATAAAGATAAAGGAAGGAAAGAAATGCAAGGAAAAAAGATATGAAAGAAGATGAATTTCTGTGTGAAAATCTGTTCCATTCTTAGCTACTGAAAACATTAGAAGTTGGTTGCTACTGCAGTTAACAAAGGTATAGTTAATCAATGTGTCCCTGCCTCCACTTATTATAAATCATTATATCAGCATTTGTAAAAGCATACAGTATTATAGATGTTAATGTAGGAAAAAACATTAGACAAAAGCAAGGATACTCCAATGATTTACAAAAGCTTCTCATCTTAGGTTCATTTGTGCCTTTTAACAACAACCAATATACCAGAAACAAATCACAGAAATGCTGACTTGCAATTTATCTGTGGTATCTCCAGGAGTTACTTTTTATCCTTAAATAAAGGGTGACCAACAGGAGAAAAGGACACAGGATTAATTTAGCATATGAAAGCCTTAGAATAGTACAGTATACTACAGAGAAGAATGTGAAGTTACAAACAATACAAATGAATTTGAAAGCAAAAGATAAACTCAATTAATAAAT